TCACCAAAGGTGCCACCATATACGGTAACTAGACAACTTAATGACTAGATAAAAAAAAAGCTATCGGTTGGTTCATACTAAACAGACAGAACACATACTAGAATCTAGTTTCCCTCGCACTAAGTTGGAAACCTGTCTCTTATACACATCTAGATGTGTATAAGAGACAGGCGCACGTGTGTGTATAAACAAATAGATAAATAATAATAACAGTGTTCGAATAAGAACATGTTGTAATAATCGTATCAAGCATAAATCATTAACAAAAAGTTTCTTTATTTCAGTTGTATGAAAAAAAGGTGTCTCTGGCGGGATTCGAACATGCAACCTCTCGCTGCCAGGGCGAGTATCATACATTACACCACGGAGACTAATACGGTAAAATATACGCGCAGGTCTAACCCCCATGCACTTTCTCTCAACTCAAACGCTCACACATAGTGGAGCGTTGGTTAAGCTAGAATCACCTGGTCCAGCTGTTTCAGGTGTCTGCATAGACAGCAGAATGTTCCAGATTCAAATCACGGTTGGGGCAACGCTTTTACAAACTCTCGGATTCCCCTTCTTTAACGTTCAGAGTTCAGACATGTTAAATCCATTATTTTGCTTACAGTATAAGTAAGCTTCCCATCATTGTCCGTCACATATATCCAAGTGTCTTTCTTAATTGTCTCATATATTGAAATATATAATGATATCTGAAGTAGAATGATTCACACATCGAGGTCAGTGTGTGAATTCTTTGTATACTTTATCAATGTTCTTAAAGAACTAATATGTTGCTATATCTTAATTAAAGAACATAAACATAATAATCAAAGTAGTGTTAATAATAATTTATCTATACAGCTAGAATTAAACAAATTAGTCAAACTATGATCAGATCTGATGAAACTTTTTGCACTACTGACTAATATTCAAATCGCGGACCATTGCCTACCTCACTACTCATAACGGTTCTGCCTTTTTTGTGCGAACATTTTTTAGATGATAGTAGCCGTTTTTATAAGGTCATTATCGAATGCTCGCCTCGAGGGGATGCTTTTAAAAAGTGGATGACATGTAGTTGATGTAATAGCAGATTACACAACCGTCCAACAGTCGCCTCAAACTTAAGCTGAGTGCTAAATTGAACCCGGGCCATTTTTACAGATAGGCCTACTCTCATGTGGATGTGGTAGAATCTGCAAAACGTTTAAAAAAATCTTATCAGCACTATGTTCATAATGATCAACCTAACATATTAACAATAAAACACAACAATTATTTTCTTTAATACAATTTAGAGGGTGAGATCGCACCGCCTGCAGCCCTCCTACATCCACCCCAGTTAGGCACACTGATCGGCAACGATTTAATTTTTGCAGGTAAGGGAAATTATCTATGGGATTGTATTGGCGAGAAAGAGTTTTAAATTGGAATGTCACGCCAAAATTAGTCAGAGCCAAAAACACTCAATTATTAAAATGAATTCAATGGAAGTTATATCTGGCTGAGCAAACCAAGTTGTTGGGGGACTTGGTGGAAGGGGACGGAGTTGGGATGGATGGTGATCGACACATTTTTTCATGGACTTAATAATGGGTACCGGTATATCGCTTACCGTACCCTTTCTTGCGTTCATCTGCAGGGTACGGTATGAATTATAGTCCTCGTTAGATTTCCTTCTCGCGGACGTACTACCTGAGGAAATTAAAGATTTACTATGTCGCTAATTTGTTTGGATTTAATTTAATTTTGGTAAGAGAAAAAGGCGTGTAATTCATAATTATTATTCTAAAGCATCTGTACGGTTAAGAATGACCCGTGAATTGGCCTATGTGACCATGATCATTAAGTCTAAATTGTAAAAAAAAAATCCTATTTTGCTTGAAAATACACCGTACTTCGTTGCAGCCCCTTCATTTATAGTGGTAAGGCAAAGAGAGAAGCCTTTTAAATGGATTCATTAGTCGTATTGTTTATCTCCAGAGATTCGTAAAAGCATATTGCTTTCATATTTACTATTGAGCAGCTCAATGCTAATACAAATTTAATAAAACACATTAGGCCTACTGGATTGATCGGGAGATTCTGTTAAGTTGAAAAGAAATCTGGGTCGAAAAAACATCAACCAATTGGGATGCGGAGTGGGATGGAAAGGGGAATCGTGAAATTAGCTGGAGAAATATTAATATGGGGGCCTACCTTTAGGGGGAAAAACTAGCTATATGCTTACATTACTCTACTCGGCCAAATGCCGGAGTAGACATATGACAATTAGTGTCGTCCAAAAGGAAACAAGCATATATAAATCCTAGGTAAGAATTTGCAGTCCTAAGAGCCAAAATGTACAAATTTCACAAAAGACGACAAACTTGTGTGTTACGGTCTGACCTTAAAGTAATTGTAGGAATGAAAATATTGTGAGAAACTGATGGACTTAGGATGCTCACTGAAGACATGACACAGTGGATTAAAATTAAGGAGTCATTAAATTTGCAGGATGTTTTAACTACTACATTTGCAGAACACACATTGTAGATACATACACACACACTGTGTTTTATATTACAATAATACCAAACACGCTGAAGCTTAATCCAGGATAATAACATTAAGGTTTTACGTTGCAGATAAAATGTCACTGATATACGATGAAAATACATCCCTGGATGGGGGTCTAGGCTTCCCTGGTTGGAAGATATCAATAATGAATCATGGGGCTTGACGGCGCCAAGTCGCATTTCCCGTACCCTGAATCATTCATGATATTCAGTGATACGATTATAACAGCTGATTTGGACGCAGTCCAATACGATTAACACGCTTGAGATCACCCGAAGCATACAAATGTCCGGTGAAACTATTTTAGTACCTTCATCTTAATACGATTTTCCGATGTTTTTCTTTTCTCTCCTTACGCTACTCTATTGTTTGGTGTTTCCCAACTTTCTCTTATAACTTTGGCACATCAGATCTAATATATTTTATCTACTATCTATGCATATATTTTCTATCAACCGAAAATATTCTCGTAGGCTTACATATTGCCAAATTATGAATCATTATCGGGCAATGGCGTATCTATGGATGAGGAGACAGATGAAGGGGGTGAAGTTTAATTAGGATTCGATGAATAAGTTAGGGCGGCTAGCAGCAACATGGTATGAGGTGACTTTTAAGTTGAGCGTACTCTATTTGTTTGAACTGAGTTTTATAGTGGGGTGCCTTGGGAACTTCTTTTGGAGGTGCGTCACCAAAGGTGCCACCATATACGGTAACTAGACAACTTAATGACTAGATAAAAAAAAAGCTATCGGTTGGTTCATACTAAACAGACAGAACACATACTAGAATCTAGTTTCCCTCGCACTAAGTTGGAAACCACGCGTGCCAACTTAATTCATTGTTTCTAAATTAAGTTATTACAGAATTGAGGGAGAGGTAGATATGGGGGCCTATATTCTGAAGATAACGTCCAGTATATAATATAGGCAGATATGCCGAAGCCAACTTTTAGTCAAATCAGAGACTGACACTCAGAGAAGGTGAATGGAAATGAAATCGCAGTGTGCAGAAGTTTTAAACTGTTCCTCTTAGTTTTCTAGATTTATGTCATTCTGGAGAACTTAATTCTACTGTCAGTTTTATGAAAAAGTTGGTGTTGATAGTATTATGAAGATATGAATCAAATACGATATAGCATCATCGAAATGATAATAATATAACAATCGGATATAACCTTTTTTAAATGTTAAAATTGAGGTGCGCCCTCACAAAGCACTACCAAAATGTGTAATGGTGTAAATTTAACAAAGAACCAGATCCGAAACGTAAAATGAATATTCCTGAGAAAATATGCCTCATCGATTCGAACCCGATTTTCGACTGAGCTATGAGGCCATGTGACTACCACTTTTCCATTAATACAACGAATAAGAGTTAATCACAAAACAATAAATTTGGTATAGAGCCACACCTCCACTGGTGATAATATAATGATCAAAATATATGGACATATTTGTACCGTAGGCACTCACAAAGCACTTTCATTCCCCTGAAATTCTGATATGATAAAATATTATTTAATCATGATATCCGCGTTAATGGATTATATATTATTCGGCACAGAAGTGTCCCACGCCATTACCTACTTTATGTTGCACTTGCTTGATGTTTTATATCATCCGAATGTAACGAGCAAACTAAGTCACTTGTAGCCGAAATTGACACACCAAAACGCGACATGTAGGCAGATAATTTGTTTTGTACATTTACACCCACTATCCAGATTAGCACACACCAACGCCAAGTGTGGTGTAATGTATTGGTGAATTGTATAAGTAAATAATGATTTTTGTAAAATTATCTTTATACATACTACTACTGTCTGAAAGATGTAATTTTAAATGGGAATTGAATATGCTAAGACAACTAATGATTTGCAGATCAGGAGCAAGAGTTCTATCAAATTCGAATAATAGGGAGCTCTCGATTGCACGACGACGGTAGTGTGAAGAACGTAATGACGTCACTAAAAGTCATCTGCGCATGCGAGAACGTTAAGGTCACCTCGTCGAGTAGTTTCTGGAACGCAACTCGGCCAAATATACGTATGCAGAGAACGTAGGACGCCAGGTAGGACGGTCACGCATGAGTGATTACGTTCTAGCGTCACGTCGTCGCACAAATCGAAAGCTTCCTATTGTATGAAAATGAACGTTCTTCTAAGCAAACATGTCAAACACTAAGAAAAACCGCCAAAAATTACAGTACAGTACCTTCTCTCTCCCCATTCATTTCGTGTCCGAGCTACCAAGTAAGCCGGTGCCAACTAAACTGTCGTCTGTCCACAACAAGGGATGTATGGACCAGTACACCGGGGTAACCCGCCTACTCGTCTCGAAAGATGTACTGGATTATTGTGGCAAGAGTGATCAGAATATAGATATGTAGAAGTTTTACCTATCATCGTGGGTTCATGTGACAAAAGGACAAAAAACAACAATATAAACGTATTTTCTTCCAAGAATAAGTGTACAATTTTAATACAAACTTCAAAATAGTGTTAATATCATTCTTGCAAATATAAACATTACTTTTCTCAATTCTGCACCAGCTAGCCTATAATATAACTGTACACAAATACAGTTATTGCACAATTGTTGTAACTTAGAAAATTATGGAATCGATATTTGAATACAGTAACAATAATTATTGAAAAATGTTTATGTTCATCTAAGTATTCATTGTGGAAATGTAAAGTCCCAATGAAACCGAGGATTTAACCACCAGTTTTAATGAACATTCGAAAGTTTAAGATTAACAATCTGCCATACAAATTATACTTTAATCAATATAAAAATATAACAGAAACTACAAGGTTTACTATATAACGCTGATGAAAAAACCTGCATTGATTGGTACTGTATACCAATAATATGAATAGATTATATTTTCAGTCGATGCTGATTGTCCAAATCCCTAAAATTCTAAGCAACCCACATTCAAGTATGATTCTCAGTAGGTTTTCATGTTACACTACCGCATGTGTTTTCCCAGAATAGGTGTTTGCCGTTGTTGCATAATTGAAATAGTCATCAGCTCTTACAAATCAAGAGACAAAAGCAGTTTAGAACTGAATCAGTGTTACTGACAAACGAGTAAGTACATTTTGCCACTGGGCAACCTTCTATAAAACACAATTACGACACAGTTTAAATACATTCCTCTGATTAGGAATTCATGATTTACAGTAGTTTTCCTTCGTCTCTGACCAGCACTTTGTAGTTATTAGTCACTTTCCTCTTATTTTACTTACAAGGGATAAAGATTAACTGTGCACGCTTTTAGATCAATCCGCTGACGTTAAACGTCGGTATACTGTATATCAACGATAATACTTTTATAGAAAATAGTGCAACATTTTAGGAAATCTATAAAACAAATGACAAAAGTATGAATATAATTTCCAATGTTACGTTTGGTTATGCATTAGATATTTTAGAAATGGTTAGTATACTCGTTGGAAATAGATATGAATGTATTATTGTATAATACTTTGAGCTTCGATATATCATGACCGTACAAATTTTTTACTCTGTTGTTATGCTCATTTGAATAATAGATGGTTTATGGCATAACAATTTATTGATTGCGCCCTCTATTGTCAATACTTACATTAACTAGGATTTTATGATTGGAATAGTTTGAAGCAGTTCTTGTAATAGGTGATCCCTGTCAGAGAGAAACAATTTATTCTCCAATATATGAGTTTGTTAGACTGGCAGTAAGACCGATCAATCCAGTTAGATTGTACACTAATTTCAAACTTAAACCACAATGCTCAGGCAGCAATGTTGGTAGATATGGATTACACCGCAGACATACTGCAGCTATTATATTGTTGATGAATCATGGTATTATACATTATTTGTTTAATGTCATACGGAAGACAACTGGGACACAATTCTTACCAGCTGTTGTGTTAAAAAGAAGTTTGTAAACGTATCTGTTTAGTTACAAACTGGTAAATTGTCGGACGAATCTAGAAAACTTAAAATATAATCAAACTATTGTTCTATTATTATCAATTCCTACTTTTTTTCCATTTCTTAAAAAAAATTATATAAAATTTCTGATTTGAGCAACGATTATTGTCACTGTACCTCACACTCTCACGTACTCTTTTTAAAATCTTATTTTATCAATAGAAAAGTATACTTTACCACTTACCCGAAAATATTCAAAGAAATAAGAAATTTCTTTGTCGTTTTTAAATTCTACACAAATCCCTAAATTCAGTAATCAAAATATTACAATCATTATATATGAATATGATAAAAAAATATCGAAAAATACAAATAGACAAGAAACCTATTTCCATACGAAACAAAATGGATCGAAAATACTTAACGTTTGTGTATATTTATCATATATCTTTTTTCGCTGTATGGTCTAAGATATCATCAGAAGAGACAAGTTGTTGTGACAATTATGATAACTACCAAAGTAATCTTGATACTTTCAATTGCCAATACGCTAAGTAGATAATTATCAATTTGCGGCAACTAGAGGGTGCTGCCCATAGCGACCGTTGAATGATCCCTGAAAGTTCATAGCATCGTAAAATACGCGGTTCGGTTTCACAGAAGGCGCAATCGGTCTGGTTTCATAACCATAACTTGGAATTTCTTCAACTCTTGGAAAAAATGGATCTGCCCAGCAGTTGTATGTGTTATCGTGTCTTGGCATAGGTGGAAGCCAATCCCGTTGTGAAGTAAAGTTATTGGGAACTCTTGGATAGGCAGTGCCATTGTTCAAGCCATTGCGTTGTTTGAAATACGCGCCAACTTCGGTGGGGGATTGACGCGGAGGAAAGTTGCTTCGCTTGCCGGAATTCTTCAGTTTAGTTGAGCCAAATTTGGTTTGTGCAAACATTGCGGCAGTGAAGAGATGCTGCGATTTCTGAGGCGCCCTTATGTAATCTGACGTTGGACTAGTATTAGGTCGACTGAGCAGCATGGTCGTTGGAGAAGGAGATGTTCCGAAGCTTGAAGTTGGTGAAACAGGAGATAATGTAGACGACACAGGCGACAATCCTAAAGAAAGATTATTCATTGATGATGCAAGCGAATCAATCGGTTTAAAAGTTGCTGCATCTGGATTGAAAGCAAAGCGGGAGGAATCGGCGTGGCTAGCAACTTCATTGTCTGCTGCCGCGTTGTCAATGCCTTCATCGGGGTGATGATCACTGTAGAGAATTTGCGTGGAGCCTTTCTCTCCAATTCTATAAGAGACCTCACGGGGGTCAATCCATACCATCAAATCATTTGGTAGATTAGCAAGTATCTCCTCAACTTTAAGTCCACTTTTTCTGCTGGCAATATCAACCGCTGGATCCAGTCGGGAGGATTGGAATTTCAGACATCGATAAGCAGACCCTTTTGTCGGTCTCGATGGGTACCAGTGCCCTTGGAATTTTTGGTCAAGTGCCTTTTCAAGTTCGAATCCAAAACCATCAATGCGTCGTCGCGGTAATTTGTTGTACAGATACGAGCAGACAAACTGTACAGCCACTTGTAGTTCGCTATTCATGATAGACACTCACTGTGATCGGTTCGTAGCAACTCCACGTCTGTAAATGAAATGAGATGAAAATAATCATTACTATTATAGATACCAACGTACAGTCGTTTCAGTGAAATTGTGACATGTGACACCGAGAGAATCTCTCCCATTGGACAATTGCCAAGACCTTCACTAGTCGTAATTAGCTGCGTATGTGCACAGGCTGTCTTTCGTGACGTCAGCAACTCGCTTGCGTATCCGGCAACCTTTCCAGTGCTCTGTTTTCAGACTACCCATATCATATTCGACTTCCCAAGCATTCAATACGGACGCAAAATAATTAAGTTGCATGCATGTATATTTATTTCTATGCATTTACTGAATCTACACAGAATTTTTTGTAATCGGTTTTATTTAATATACCTACGCAGAGTCGCTCCTTCCTGCGCGTTTTGTGACTCATTACCATGCAAAAATATATATCATAAAAAGGTCGCGATTGGCTTGGAATGGATACATTTATTTTACAACACTGACGTTAACATCCACTCTATACTATATGAATAGGAATAGCTCTCACGTAGGGCTATTTTGTGAAAATAATAGTACGCAGCATTTCTTATGCATAAACATCACGTGAACAGCATCAGAACACAACAAAATATATAGATTATCCTTGAACTATGTGGAACGGTTTTAATTTCATAATTATCTCATAATTGATTACGTAGGCCTATATTTTTTAAATTTTGCTCAGGCTTAACAATAAACAAAATTATAAGTTTATACTTATCGCTATAGGCTATTACTTATATTTTAAATAGATAGAGCGATACAGCATAGGGGGCCTATAAATCATTTTTGTGTTTTGTTACGGTATTCATTGTTCCGCATTAAATTAAAAATGACTCTGAGCGTCTCAGATTCTATAAAAATCTTTCTTTTAAACTTTTCTAATTAATACTTGAATTTTTCATGATGTGTAATGTTTTTTGATTGTTTTTTCATCTGTCTATTAGCAATAACAAGTGTTTGTTTGTATCTACAACATGTAAATACGGATAATTTATGGTTATGCAAAATTGGTATTAATAGGCGACGAACAATGCAGAATACAAACACCGAACATAAACTCCATAATATTTATGATATAAATATATATTTTAGCGATACATCAATGTCAACCGATGAAAGCTCTATTAATTATGTATTGCATTCGTTTTTAAACACCTATCGATGGAAACTGCCCGTGAGATGTGATTTTGGAAATTAGCCTTTTGTTAGTAGAATCGCATTCTGTCCATTACATCTAATTATAGAACGCTGACGACAATCGAGGCAAGGTGAACTGAAATTAAAACTCACGCGAAGACCTGTTATGACGTGCATTAAACGGTAGCTCGTATCAGTAACATTAAAAATATTTTTATTTATAAAGTCTTATATAGCAAATGTAATCATTCATTCTTTAAATAT